TCTATAGGTAGGGGGACGAGACAGGGGTACCCACTCTCCACTGCCCTTTTTGCGTGGGTTATGTATCCCTTGGCACAAGCTATCAGCATATCCTCCAGTATAAGGGGAACACAGGTGGGCACCATTACCGAAAACATGGCAGTGTTTGCTGATGGCTTAGTCTTATTCCTTAATGATGCAGGCCCATCTCTTAAAGAGGCCCTGAATTTGATTTCCACCTTTATCAGGTTTGAAGGTCAATTGGGATAAATCTCAGGTCTTACCCATTGATGCCAAAGCTAAGGAACTGACTGATCCCGACATTCCCTTGCAATGGACCTCAGCAGTGAAATAATTAGGAGTTATGGTCTCTTCGAATGCCGCAGACTTCTACAAGCTTAATCTTTTACCCCTACTCCAAGCCAATCTCCCTGTTTCACTAATCGGTAAAAATGAAATTACTTCCCTCGTTATTGTATATAATCCACCATGCTCCAGTTTGGATCCCACTGCAATACTTTAAACAGTTTGACACTGCAGTGGTTTCTTTCCTGTGGGGCTCGAGGCAACCTAGATTTAAATTAAAGGTACTACAGAGACCCTGGACCAAAGGGGGGCTAGCTTGTCTGGACTTGTATACTTATTATATTGCAGCGTTACTTTCCCATGCTCACAATTGGATAGGGGTGGACGAGACAATGCCGCTGTGATTCTGGAAGCAGCTTTCCTGGGGTCTTATGAAGCCCTACGAAATCTTCTATACAGAGGGGCTTCAGACCCCTTCCCTGTCACAATGTCTATGAGCGCGCTCAATAAAGCTTGGCATCTACAATTCCCCCCACATACTCCTATTTGGTCCCCTCACGCCCCCTATGTTTGAATCCCTCCTTGTCAGAGTTCCTCCTCTTTCCGGAACCCTCAGTTTGGGCCTTCAAGGGAGTCAAATATTTACAGCAGATATGTTAGGGGGTACCATTAGAACCTTTGGTTCCTTGAAAGCTCAATATGCCCTTCCTAATTCATATCTGCTCCGGTACCTCCAACTACGCCATGCCTTTCAACAGCAATTTCATGGTCAACCCCTTCGGTTTGTAGAATCTTGATTTGAATCCCTACTGAGAGATGCCTCCTTTGTTAAACCCCTCTCCTCTATATATGTGGCCTTACGGCCGTCCGTTCAAGAAGGCTTTGATAGGCTTCTGTCCACCTGGCTCGGGGAGGTTCCGGAGCTAGACTTAGAAGATTGTGAGGAAATATGGGAATATCCGATGCACCAATTGGTCTCCACTCATGTCCGTTTTGATAAAGTACAAAATTCTCCATAGAGTTTATTTCACCCCTCAGAGGTTGCATAGGATGTTTCCATCACATCCCTCTAGATGCCGGCGCTGTCCAGAAGACCCAGCCTCATTTCTGCATGTCTTCTGGAGCTTCCCTGCCATTCAGATTTTTTGGGAGGATTACTACTTTTCTATGCATACAAAGCTATAATCCTAAAATGGACATCCCCTCATGCTCCTACCTCCCTTATTTTTGGAAACACCTAGCCAATATGGTCCTCCCACTCCATAAATACAGTTATGAATCTAGAGGCCGCCCTTCAAAATTTACCAAATTTTGGCATATTTGGATGGAATTCAGGAATTCTGTTGCCTCCATTTCTGACCAGAGATAGCTCTAGTACATCTAGTTCACTTGTAGGGATATTTGTGTTTGATTTGTAATGTAAGGCTGTCCATCCCCTCCACTCCTTTCCGTTAATATTGGTTAAATCTACCGTGATTGCGCTATAAAATTCTAATAGGTGCAGATTGCCTTTTACGGTTTATGGTTTGTTTTAGTTTATTCTTATGTTCTAAGCCTGGGTATGCCCAATGGGCTTTGTTTTGTACTCTATAACACTTTTATATTGAATAAAGAGAATTTGCAAAAAAAATTTGTGCTCCAAGCACTGCAATACCCTTTAGGACTTGTGCTCCAGGTGCTGCAAGACACTTTAGGACTTGTTCTCTAGGTGCTGCAATACACTTGCCCACTGTGACTCCACCCACACTTACACACTTCTTACCGGAATTAATAACATCCAGACCATAAGAGGTTAAGACAGCATGAGAAAGGAATGCTTATAGTTCTCAGGAGTGATCTCTTGGCTGTACAATCCAGGTAGCTTGTTTCTACCCTTGGTGGCGCTCACACTGGCTTTTACACTTCCAGGGATGACCATCAAAATGTGAATGTAACTCAGAAATAAATAAAAGTTCTCCATGTCCCAATATCGTTTAAGTATGTAGGATTAATTTAAAACAATAACTAACAGGCTTAAAGCCGAACTTCAATCTCTCAATCGACATTGACTATTTTTAATCTTTATGCTGCTAGTCATAGTAAATGGATAGGAAAGTATATCATGTTTACTTGTTTTTTAACTTTTTATTACATTTCTTCAGTTACTTCCTGGTTTCCATTCCTAGGTAAATGATGTCATACATCCCAGGAGTCTTCAGGAGGGTAGGGAGGGGTCTTAGCTCAGCCAATTCCTGAGCTAAGGGCTGATGGATTCCAGGAAGTAAATGTTACATGAATCCTCTGCCCTTACTCAAGATGGCCACTGCCAGTAATGCCAGGGGGTGTTTTTCAAAATGATTTCTCAGCAAAATAAAGCATGGAGATATGGATGGATGAGGGGGTTTGCTTTGAATATTAACAATGAATTAAATATTTTGGTTTTTGGTGTTCAGGTGCAGTGCAGTTCCACTTTAATGGCAACATCAATCAACCGCAAACCAGCATCACCGCCAGATGTGGTGTGCGTGATGACGTCATGAAAAAGTCCCTTCTAATGCATTTTGTGATATGTCACGTCTTCAGGGTACAGGAAGGTACATATACACTCACAGGCCACTTTATTAGGTACACTTGTTCAGTTGCTTGGTAACACAAATTGCTAACCAGTCAATCACATGGCAGCAACTCAGTGCATGTAGGCATCTAGACGTGGTGAAGATGACTTTCTGAAGTTCAAATAAAGCATCAGAATGGGGAAGAAAGGGGATTTAAGTGACTTTGAACATGAAATGGTTGTTGGTGCCAGATGGGCTGGTCTGAGTATTTCAAAAACTGGTGATCTACTGGAATTTTAATGCACAACCTTCTCTAGGGTTTAAAGAGAATGGTCCGAAAAAGAGAAAATATCCAGTGAGTGGCAGTTATGTGGACGAAATTCCCTTTTGGATGTCAGAGGAGAATGGGCAGACTGGTTCAAGATGATAGAAAGGCAACAGTAACTCAAATAATCGCTCGTTACAACCAAAGTATGCAGAATGCCATCTCTGAACGCACAACACATAGAACCTTGAAGCAGATACAGCAGCAGAAGACCACATTGGGTAGCAAAGTGTACCTATTAAATTGGCCAGTGAATTTATACCATACCTTGCTGATCCCCCTGAGAGCGGGAAATCACTGAAGTAGACACCAATACTTCAGTGATCTCCACTTCATATCCTGTGCTGAGTGCTTGCTTGTGAACACAGGAGATCGGGTGTTCAGCATGAGTGCCATTCAGAGAATGCTTTGGATTTTCTGAATGAATGCAACGCATTCTCTGATTGGCCAAGGCGGAGTGGCGACGTCATGTTCTGCATCTCTTGCAGTCAGAGAACACTTTTCATTAATTCAGAAAATGCTAAATATTTTCTGATAGGTGCCCGTGCCAAGAAGCCAACCTCCTGTGTACAGTGCATCAGGCCTCCCGCTCAGCTCAGGACCCAGAAGCTAGTGGAGGTCACATCAGTAGTAGTGATGTCTACTTCAGTGATTTCCAGCTTCCCAGGGGGATTGACCACTATTTAAAACGGAAAAAAAAATAAAATTCAGTGGAAAGCAAAAGACCCTCAACACAGTCCTGACTTCTGCCGAAATTGCCTAGGTGACATCACTCAGTATTCCCGTAGCCTTCTGTGAAATCCAAGGATCCTAAATCTTGTAAGAATGCTCTCCTGCTTGCAAAAGAGTGCATTATCAGAAGATTTAGGAATAATATCAACATTATAACAATATGTTGGTGATTGGGGTTTAGTCTGCTTAGTGATGTATACTACACCTGGAAAAATGACTAAAAGCAGGTTACCGTGGCTGGGAAACCCATCTGTGATACAGCAATGTTTAAAACCGCTCAGGCATACTTTTATTTATTCAGGAAATCCGCATTAAAGTCAATGTAAAATGACAAAGTGTACAAGATTAGCATATTGCTTTCTTTTTTAGTGACCCATTGCTCAACATTTCCGAAGTATGCTTTAAGTTGTCATCCCACCTTACTAAAATAAAAAAAACTTCCTGCCATTGGGAGAATCTGTAGAATGCAAATTTTCCCCTTGTTCTGCCAACTGGATTTGTGCCATTCTCTTACGTTATTATTGCAACAAATGAAAAGTGCGCACTTGCTATTTGTGTACGTGAAGAGTCTTTCTCAATTTGTTCCAGTCTCATCCTGTTATAGTATCTCAACAGTATTTCTTACCAGCCTCTCCCTCTCCTAATACAATCATTTTAAAGGATTAAGAACAGGATTACCCTCTGGGCATCTGGGCTATGTGTGTGAGGTCTGTTTCTCTGGCAGCCTTTATCGGTGTGAACGTGCCGCAATGATGTTGACTTTGGCATTGGATGTGCCAGTTTAGAGCATTTTTTTCCTTTGTTTGTGTTAGTTTAGCGTAGCCTGGTGAATTTATTTTTTAAATAACATTCTTAGTGAACCGCTAACACATACAGCTGTAATGCTTCAGGTGGTTAAATTAGGTGTCCAACTGCTTGGAAAAAAAATCAGTCAAAGACCTAAAATATTGTAGCAGCTTGTCAATTAGTGTTGATTTTGGCTGTAAAAACCAATAGGGTTGGTTATATTTATGAGAGAGTTTATTAGGGTTTCTAGTATGTGATAACAAAACGGTTCATGCTAATTTGATTTGAGTTTGGGAAACAAAAATGGACTGATCTGTGTTTTTTCCCCAGAGGGCAAAATGGCTACCAAGGACCTGAATTCAGAAGAATACCCTACAGAGATCCATGAATATCTTTTGACCTTTGAAAAAGCAGTTGGCGGTGTTGATGAAATGTTGACCAAACTGATGTCCGTTCCTAAATCTGAACTTCTTCAGAAAGTAAGTAGTGATGTGATTGTGGTAATTATAACCTCTTTCATAAACCGTTTGGCATTTTTTTGGGCATCTTAGAAATAAGGGCTTTATAGAACCTGTGAAGGTTGATTACTCCTTGATCCACATATACAAACCATTCCTAACATTCACAGGTGATTGGGGAAACTCTTCAATAGTGTGTGCATTACAATTTTGAAGATGACCTCCAACCGATTCCCTTTTTTGGTTTTCATTTTGGATTCAGAAAAGAACCTATATTAGGTTTTTTTTGTATTCCTGACTTTGTCCTTGCTGGAGAATATCCTCCACTACATTTTTTTTAAACAATGTTTTTTATTACATTCTTGTGACCATAAAGCATCTATCGAAGTACAAATCTGCGTACCATACATACACTCTATTTCCAAAAGTATTGGGACGCCTGCCTTTACATACACATGAACATTAATGGCATCCCAGTCTTAGTCCATAGGGTTCAATATTGAGTTGGCCCGCCCTTTACAGCTATAACAGCTTCAGCTCTTCTGAGAAGGCTGTCCACAAGGTTTAAGAGTGTGTCTATGGGAATGTTTGACCATTCTTCCAGAAGTGCTTTTGTGAGGTCAGGCACTGATGTCGGACAAGAAGGCCTGGCTTGCAGTCTCTGCTCTAATTCATCCCAAAGGTGTTCTATCAGGTTGAGGTCAGGACCCTGTGCAGGCCAGTTAAATGCCTCCACCCCAAACTCGCTCATCCATGTCTTTATGGACCTTGCTTTGTGCACTGGTGCGCAATCATGTTGGAACAGGAAGGGGCCATCCCCAAAATGTTCCCACAAAGTTGGGAGCATGAAATTGTGCAAAATGTCTTTGTATGCTGGTGCCTTAAGAGGGGCTAAGCCTAACCCCTGAACAACCCCACACCAAACCCCCCCTCCACCAAACTTTACACTTGACACAATTCAGTCAGGCAAGTACCATTCTCCTGGCAACCGCCAAACCCAGACACGTCCAACGGATTGCCAGAGAAGTGTGATTCGTCACTCCAGAGAACACAGTCCAGTGGCGGCGTGCTTTACATCACTGCATCCGACACTTTGCATTGCACTTGGTGATTTATGGCTCGGCCATGGAAACCCATTCCATGAAGCTTTCTATGTACTGTTGTTGTGCTAATCTGAAGGCCACATGAAGTTTGGAGGTCTTTAGCTATTGACTCTGCAGCCAGTTGGCGACTTCTGCGTTTCAGCATGCGCTGACCCCGCTCTGTCATTTTATGTGGCCTACCACTTCGTGGTTGAGTAGCTGCTGTTCCCGGTTGTTTCCACTTTGTTATAATACAACTAACAGTTGACCGTGGAATATTTAGTAGCAAGGAAATGTCATGGATGGACTTATTGCACAGATGGCAACCTATCCCGATACCATGCTTGGATTCACTGAGCTCCTGAGAGCGACCCATTCTTTCAAAAATGTTTGTAGAAACAGTCTGCATGTCTAGGTGCTTGATTTTACACACCTGTGGCCATGGAGGTGATTGGAACACCTGAATCCAATGATTTGGAGGGCTGGCCCAATAGTTTTGGCAATAAAGTGTATATGTGACCAAATTTTCCAGCATACATCTTTTGAGGTAACCTGAAGATTCTAATTTATGCAGGTCATGGTGTAGCTAGTAGTTGGTCACATTCCACTGTTGGCTTATTCCTCAGTTCAATCCCATCCTGTTCTTGGGAAAAAAAAACATCTGGTGAGATTAAGGTTTCGGTGCAACCTGTGGATACAAATGCTGGGGTATTTTCCTGACACCTAATTAGAAACACGGAATCGGTCTGGATAAGCTACGAAACATCTTCAGCATTATGACACAAGTCCAGTTGAATGTGACTAACTACTACTACATATCTCATGAGTGAAATATCTTTATTGCAACAAGTACAGTATACATACAGTGGAAATGTCATGAAATCAATAAACTATACAAAACTATATACTTGTTCTATTCCTCTGCGAGATACAAATTAGGGATACCCCTAAATTTCGGCCACCGAAACATACCGGCCGAAAATAGCCCTACCGGCATTTTGCCGATAAGAAAAATTTAGCCGATACAAGAGACTGTGTGTATTGCAGATGTGAAGGGGCGGAGAAAGGCAGGAGAGGAGGAGTGTATACAGTGACAGGCTGTCACATCAGTGCCGGTTGTTAAATGTAATTACCAGCGTTTTTTTTCTCTCACTATAGCTCACAGAATTAGCTGTCCCTTTACCCCAGCTAAAAGAAACAAAGTTTCCTTTTAGTTTATTTCCCGAGATAAAAGAAACAAAGTTTCCTTGCTCCGGGGAAAGTGACAGCTAATTCTGTGAGCTATAGTGACAGAAAAAAAAAAAAAGCCTGCAATTGCATTTAAAAACTGCACCGATATATAGTGACAGCCAGTGAGGGAGCCTCTGTATACACTGCCCCCTCACTGTATACACTGCTCCCCTCCTGCCTCCTCTTGCACACACTGCCCCCCCCCCCCCCCTACAAAGAGGACCTGTCGCTCATATGCTATTACATAGGGGACTTTTGGTCCCTATATGATGCAATAAAATCATAAGTTAAAAAAAATAAAAAATATACATGAAAGTAGAAAAAAATACAAAAAAATTGGATCCTCCCCACCCCCACATATGCAGACATTTCGGTTTTGGTTCAGTTTTCGGCCACATGCATTCTGAATTTTTGGTATCGGTTTCGGAAGCAGAATTTGCATTTCGGTGCACCACTAATACAAATAGCTTCTCACTTTTTGTTTGATTACTAGAACAGGAAGTGAGAGAGGATCTCTCCAAGTGGAATACAACAATAAAAGCACTTTTGTTTTTAATTTAGTAAGGAAGGGTAGGAACCATTGCTTTTTTTAATACTGTTTTATTGTGTCCTCATTGCTAGAGATTTTTGTCTTTTCCGGTTTGGGCGCCAGGACTGGAAGTAAAGGGAAATTCCACAATGGCCACACAGACAAAAATAATAACCTTATAGAGACGTTAACCTTTTTGTACTCTTTATAAAGTTAAATAAATAAAAAAAAAGTTTTTTTGAGCCCCTATTTAAGGGAATAATGGGTTCAAACTATGAAGCATGCAGCAGTTTAAGAATTATATAAGGCAGGGTCTCCAAACTTTGTAAACAATGGGTTTGTTTACTGTCCTTTAGATTCTCTAGGGGCCGGACTGTGGCCAGTTGGAGCAGAAAATGCCCCAACCTCAGTGGAAGTAAACCGTGCCCCTTCTTTTGTTTAGGTAGAAGGAATGGCACCCTGTCATTGGTGTCTGTGGCAGGAATGGTGCTCAATAATTAGTGTCAGTAGTAGGAACGATGCCCCATCGTTGGTGTCAGTGGGAGGAATGGTATTGGTGTCTGTGGGAGGAATGGAGCCCCATCATTGGTGTCTGTGGGAGGAATGGAGCCCCATCATTGGTGTCTGTGGGAGGAAGGGAGCCCCATCATTGGTGTCTGTGGGAGGAAGGGAGCCCCATCATTGGTGTCTGTGGGAGGAAGGGAGCCCCATCATGGTGTTGTGGGAGGAAGGGAGCCCCATCATTGGTGTCTGTGGGAGGAAGGAGCCCCATCATTGGTGTCTGTGGGAGGAAGGGAGCCCCACCATTGGTGTCTGTGGGAGGAAGGGAGCCCCATCATTGGTGTCTGTGGGAGGAAGGGAGCCCCATCATTGGTGTCTGTGGGAGGAAGGGAGCCCCATCATTGGTGTGTCTGTGGGAGGAAGGGAGCCCCATCATTGGTGTCTGTGGGAGGAAGGGAGCCCCATCATTGGTGTCTGTGGGAGGAAGGGAGCCCCATCATTGGTGTCTGTGGGAGGTATAGCAGACCATCATCAGTTGTGGATAGAATAGTGTCCCAAGGGCCAGACAGAGGTAGGCAAATGGCCACATCTGGCCCCAGGGATGTAGAGACCCCCCCTACAGTATAAGGGTATATCTTTTCCCCTTAGTCTGTTAATCTCCAGTTAATATTCTGGTGTAACACTAAATAAAATGAGGGTTCTTCTATTGTGATTAACTAGGTGTATCCTCCAGACATAGAGCGGAGCAAAGTGCTCTGAAATGGTAACAGGAATTTAAAAGATAAAATAACTTTTTAACATTTTTATTGTCTGCTGTTAACAAACCTACAAACTGACCTAGATCAAACTTTAATCTAGGCATGTTTTTTATATATATAATATATATTTTTTTACACACCGTTTTTTTTTTCTCTCTCTGCAAGAAAAGTGAGAAATACAACACATCTCTCTCCTCCATTGAGAGAGAAAACATGGGGGTGGGCTTCACAGTGAATGATCACTTTGATAGCCAATCAGAGGCTATCGCAGTGATCAGGTGACCTGGAATCAGGAGTTCCGGGTTCCTATCGTTAGTACGGGATCCGGGACTCTTGATGAGATCCCGGTCTCTGTGCTGGGAGTGCGGCGTACTCTCTGTACAAAGATGATTATGTGGCCCCACTGAAAAAAGCCCAGTCCAGTGGGACTGCATATTTGCGTATGCTTGGTGCCAAGGGGTTAACATGCAGTTATGGTATAAAGATAATACCCACTTTCTTGCAGTAATATTTTGCTTTGTTCTGTTCACAGATCATTGGTATTAGTTATAGATTGTGTGTTAGGCATACCTTAGGAGACTGAAAACCTATTAAGATGCTGTTTAAGTTTAACTTAATTTCCTGCTTTTTGCTAAAAGGTGCCACCATGGCCGGTCCAACTTTGCAGCTTTCTGTTCCATGTATTTCCTTCTAACCTTCTCAATAGATTGTGAATGAGCATCTTCATACTGAACATTTATTGTCCAGAAAGCAAACAGGTGACACTGGAAGCTTGAATGTGTATGAAAACAATTAACTTAATTATTTACTCAGTTACATATACCATTGAAATTATTTTGCTTTATCAGTTCAGTAAGTGCAAAAACATACTTGTTCATTCTGTCAGAAATTCAAAGCTATTCTGTTTACACTTTGTGTTAT